GTCTGAGTGCTTATTCATGAGCGATGGCATAGTAACTTACAGACTGAAGCCAGTATTCTACAATACTCAGATGTATTATCCCCTGGTTGGGAAAACTATAATCAGCAATTGAAAAACTTCAAAAGAAAAGCATAATTCAGAGCAGAATTTTATTTCTTTAAAATAATAATAATAATAATAATAATAATAATAATAATATTGTAGGTATTTCCTTTATATAAAATATCAGGATATTGTCCTTGAGGCCATATGATATTCACACTTAAAGCTGAAAAGTTACTAATAATTCCAAATAGTAGCACATTTCACAGGAAGCTTGAACACTGTTATTCTTGACTATTTGCCAGGGGCGGGGTGGGGGGAGCAGCTTGCTTTTATTCTTGTAATAGAAAAATGTATGATAAAAAGGGGGTAAGTGGGGACTGGATAGGACATAAATATTGTTAAGCACCTGAGTCCAATATGCCATATTCAAGGAGCAAGGGACAATTTTTCCAAGCCTGTCAATGAAGGCATTATCCTCTTCCTTGCATAGCCAACTAGTCAATTGGAGCACATTTTCTTCTATCTTTGTCCTTCTAAAAATAAGAATATTAGAAATTTCTGTTTCCCAATACGGATAATGCATAATTCTGCATAATTCACCACACAGACATATCAGAGTATGTACCCCAAAACCACCTTTAGCTTAGCTCAGTTGGTTACAGCGTGGTGCAAGGTTGCAGGTTCAATCTCCATAACAATCTGCATGTTCCTGCATTGCAGGGGGTTGGACGAGATAACCCTCATGGTCCTTTCCAACTCTTCCAATTTTTGATTCTATGAACCACATATTACTTTACAAGCACTACTACGCAGTTTGCCCCCCACCCCCTTGCCACCTTCCCAGTAAACCTTAGAGGCATGCTTCGCAGCTCATATTGCGCAAAGGCCAGATGGAGTCCATTAAAGTCATTACATGAAAAGTGAAATAATGGCCAGCTTTTGCTACATTCATTCATGTTGAGTAAACATTATATTCTGTGAATTGTACTCCCACAAAAGTCACTGGGATTTTTCACGGAGGACATGGGATGATTATCTTATCATTCATACTGGGTAAAATAGTTGCTCGGTGGAACCATATTAATGTTAAACCAGAGTAATCAGTAAGTCAGACTTTTAAGAATGGGCTTGCATAATATTTTTTCTTTCCGTCACTACGGACTATTTCTCCAATTTCTTGGTTGTAGCAGACCTAGTGAGAAACAGTGATTCAGAAGAGAGAAAAAGCGGGGAGAACACTGTGAAATTGACATGACATTTTGAGAAGAAACAGTTTAATGAAATTGACCCACTTTGTTTTGCCAAATCGTATTACCAATTTGTCAATTTGGGGATAAATCCCTGTGAGTTCAATGGAGCTTCATTCTGAGTAGACATGCCTTGGTAATTGATCCTCGCCCTCCTACCATTTTTTTAAATAAAAAAAATACAGCATGGGACACTTTGAAAACCTTTGGGTCTGTTTTCAAATAAGGTATACAGTGGTACAGCGGGTTGCGACTCGCCACTTCCGCGCATGTGCGTGATGTCATTTTGAGCGTCTGCGCATGCGCGAGCGGCAAAACCCAGAAGTAACGTACTCCGTCACTTCCGGGTCACCACAGAGCGCAACCCGAAAATATTCATCCCGAAGCTACTTCAACCCGAGGTATGACTGTATTTGGGTTTTTGTAAGACAATATTTATAAAAGTAAGACATCCCAAAGTAAAAACAAAGTTTTCCTTAGTATTTCAGGTTTAAAAGTATGGTTGCATGGAATGACACACTGTGACTTCATATTTTTAACAAGCCTCCTTCAATCACTGCCCTTTCTTTGGTGGGGAATTTAACACAGCACCTCTCATAGAAGATGAAATTCTGGGGGAAGAATCAACTGACTGAATAAAAGTGTGTGCTTTTTTTGTATATAGCCAACTGCTGTCTGCTATAATGGCAAGCCCAGTGGGTGACAAATGAGTCAACATTATTTTTTTAGTGGTGGCAGAAATTTTTAATTCCTCCAAATTCAAAAAGCACCTCAGAATAGAGCTCTCTCAGAAAAAACAACAACAAAATAGTGGCTGCTCCAATTCTCTTCCCTGCAATTTTTTCCCACTTCCTCCCCCTCCGTATTCAAAGAGCCAAATTTGAGGTGGATGAAACAACAGAAAAATATTATTCATTTCATTTCTATAACACTTTATATTTTTAAGAAATAAAAACTCAAAATGGTTTGCAACACATTAAAAAAACAAATACAGTGGTACCTTGGGTTAAGAACTTAATTCATTCTGGAGGTTCATTCTTAAACTGAAACTGTTCTTAACCTGAGGTACCACTTTAGCTAATGGGGCCTCCTGCTGCCATCATGCCGCCACCACAGGTACTATTTCTGGGTCTGTATCTGAAGCGTCTGTAACCTGAAGCATATGTAACCCGAGGTACCACTGTATTAAAATTTAAGCAGGCAGCAATGCCTACAACCCACCCACCCACCCTTTGATCTGAAGAGTGAAAGTTTCCCAAAGTATTTTTTTAAAGCCCACAGAAATGTGGGCATGACAATTTTGCCATAAACCCACACTAGAGGTGGGGGTGCAGAAAGTATACCTGTCCTTAAAGTGAAACAGAAGTATGCTGAGTCCTGGGGAGTGCTAGCTAAGTTCTGACCAGTTAGAGCTAGAAAAGCTACTGACTACAGGAAAATCCTTTGTTTTACAGTGGTACCTTGGGTTACATATGCTTCAGGTTACAAACGCTTCAGGTTACAGACGCCGCTAACCCAGAAGTAGTAACTGAGAGGAGGCTTGTACCAAGGTCAAGATGGAGAATCTCATGTCGTGTTTAAGCTGTGTCAATCTTACACTTTTGCCACGATTTACAGAGACAAAGCCATGGTTTCCCAGTACTGATGTATGGAAGTGAGAGCTGGACCATAAAGAAGGCTGATCGCCGAAGAATTGATGCTTTTGAATTATGGTGCTGGAGGAGACTCTTGAGAGTCCCATGGACTGCAAGAAGATCAAACCTATCCATTCTGAAGGAAATCAGCCCTGAGTGCTCACTGGAAGGACAGATCGTGAAGCTGAGGCTCCAGTACCTTGGCCATCTCATGAGAAGAGAGGACTCCCTGGAAAAGACCCTGATGTTGGGAAAGATGGAGGGCACAAGAAGAAGGGGACGACAGAGGACGAGATGGTTGGATAGTGTTCTCGAAGCTACAAACATGAATCTGACCAAACTGCAGGAGGCAGTGGAAGACAGGAGTGCCTGGCGTGCTCTGGTCCATGGGGTCACGAAGAGTCGGACACGACTAAATGACTAAACAACACAGAGACAAACCATATCATAAGTTCAGATTCACACACTTGTTCACAAAGTGTTTGGGAATCCCACTCCCAATAGCAGAACAGCATGAATCTGTTGAGCTGCAGGGATAGATGAGTGACTCTCTGCTCACCCCGCTATGCACATCATCTAATTCTGCAACACAATTGCTGTATAGCACTGATGGCCAAGGTTTGGGGCTATATGTAAGTTGCCCTGCTTCGCTGCCTTACTGATAGGCACTGGATCACCAAGTTGGCTATTAGTATAGAGATGATGATGATGATGATATATAATGTAATGTTCATTGCCAAAATTCTAACAGTGTCATGCTAGATCTAATGCTCAGCTTCTTGGCTAGAGTTTGACTGGTGTTATGATGAAGGATGATCTGACCCCTCTTGTACATGCACTGCTAACTTTGCATTTGGATTACTGCAATGCACTTTAGAAAGGGTTGTCCATAAAGACCATCTGGAAGCTGCGGCTAAAGTGTGACATCCCAATTGGCTGCGGAGAACTCATTACACCATAATGGATCATCGTCATTTGGGCATTTTTTCAAGGTGAGCTTCCAGGCTGGTTCTTGTCCCCCCAGTCCTGCTAAATTACCCACTACAAAGAGACACCAGGATCTCTCCTTTTGCACATGAACCCTTTCCTCCCACCATCAACACACCAGTCTGTTAAGATCAATTTATGAGACCCTCTTCCTTGTCCATCCTATGGAAGATAGGCTGTTGGCTAAAAGGAGTGGAGGTTTCTGAGTACTGGCACCCATCTTCGGCTGCTTCCTCCCTAAGAAGGCATGTGGGGCCTATTTTGCTGCTACTTTTTGACGTATGGTGAAGACCCGGGCATTTTTTTTCAGCTGGAGCACACCGGAGTTCAGCTCCTGCACTTCTCAAGTGGGTGCTAAGAGAACAAGGGAGGAGTTCATGGCGAGCTCTGGCATCTCTTTTTCTAGAAAAACGGCACTGACTAGAGGTGCTGCTATTGCACCACTACACATTGCACCATGTGTAGATGGCTTTTGTGACTGTCAAAGGCACCAATATTAAACAGTGCTCATGATGTGTGTAACACTCTCTTCTCCTATTTTCTTGCTCAGAACAATTCTGGAACTTCTTATGGGCACGTTTTGTAAATGTTTCCCAATCTCATGCTGTATTTTGATATTTATTTCACGATCATTTTGAGCATGGCCTTCTTTGAAAAAGTAGTGTATGTGTAAGCTATAGGGGTTCTCCTTTTTTTAAAAAAGTGAAACCATGGGCTCCTGTCCACATGCCTGCAGGAATTCATGGTTTTATCACCATTTCCTACAAGGTTGTGACATTCAAGGGCAGGATTTATTATTGTTGTTCCTTATGACTGAAATTGACTAGCACAGAAGCTGCTTAGTCTCCCATCTACTTAGTTTAATGACTCCCTTGGTTTATATAGATTCTAGGGAAAGTAGCTGCAATAAGGAATTAGGAAAGCAGAGCAGATAGGATTTCCTCTAGCAATGCCTGGCTCCCCTCACTATTAAGCTACTAGCCTACATAAAATAGTATATGAAATGGAAATGCACTTCCCACTTTATGGTTTGTATGTAGCCTGAGTAAAGGTCACTGGAGCAGAGTCAGTGGCACAGCCTGTTCCTGCATACACACAATGGATAGTTCAGTTGGTAGAGCATGAGACTCTTAATCTCATGGTCATGAGTTCGAACCCCATGCTGGGCGGAAGATTCCTGCATTGCAGGGAGTTGGACTAGATGATCCTTGTTGTCCCTTCCAGCTCTACAATTCTATGATATGCATGGCAACCATAACAGAGCTTAGGGTGCCACTTTAGCCGTGGTGGCACAAACCACTGTTTGGTGCCACCACACCAGTAGATAAAGAGGGTGTTTAGGGCTAGGCTGTAAGCTGCATATGTAAGCTGCATATGTAATGGGCAGAGTGGAGAACAACAACCCAAACTTTTCTGGGTGCTTCTGAATACCCTCAAACCAGTTTAACAGAATGTAATATTGCATATCAGTGACTGGTTGCTTCTATTGCAGGATACCTCTAGGAGCACTATGAAAATCAACAAAACCAGAGAACATGGCTGGGTAGGAACCTTGAAAAATTCAATGCCATCCCTTTGAAAAGCTATTGCTAACGTCATTATACATAGCTATAGACTGCTGCTGCCTAAGGGGGGCATTGAATAACCATTGTGGACTGCTGCTGAGCTGAAGCTATGGTTGAGTCTCTGCAGTCTTGGAAGTAAAGTTTAAGACAATCTTAGCCAAAACTGAAATTGTGCAGGAGTTTTCCCTGCTTCATTTGCATTTCCTGCATTTTGATTTTCTCTCTCACTTCCTCTCTCTCTTCCTGCATCCAAAAGCAAAGTGGAGGGAAGCCTTGAACCTGGAACTTGTAGATTAAAAAGCAAAAAGAAAAGAAAAGGGGGGGCGCCAAACTGAAGACAGACCACCAATTCCACATTTACTGCTGATGGTGAGTCAATCAAATCCTGCTTTCCCACTGTTTCCTGGCTTTCCCTTCTGTGTGAATTCATGACCCGGTTTTTGATATGTTCCACGCTGTTACATTTCCCCCTCAGAGTTTAATTGTTTCTGTTTCACATTTGGGTGCTGAAAATTTGACAGAAGCTGCACAATTCCCTCCAGCTACAGCTCCTATTTATATTGCTGTAAACTATGTTTGCAGTGATATGATTAGTAATAAAGGGGAGAAAATTAAACAGGAATTAGCAGCTCTTTATATAGAATCTGGTTGCCTCCCAAGTTTTTCTTCCAGTATCATCGGAGAGAAAAATGTTGGAGAAACCCCATTACACTATCCATCTCTTTCTCTTGTGAGGGCACAATCTAGCTGGCTAACAGAGGAGATATTAGGTTTTCATCCAGTAGCATGACTGACATTGGCCAAAGGACTTTACTAAGTCTTGACTCAAGCCAAAAACGTCAGGATGGAGCATTCTTCCTGTGCCACCACCATCCTAGTAAAAGTTGGGAAAACAGAAGGACATACTGTTTGCCCCTTTGTGATCATTTTCATCTACTCCATGAAATGTCCCTGCCTGTATGCATAAAATGAATCCACCTAGCCTTGTAAAGTCTCTCCCCCCCCCCAGCTGCAGCTGTTCTCAAGGACACATTGAGGACCTTTGCAGAAAGATGCCCAGGGTCCCTTTCAGTGCATCTAGTAGTAAAAGGGAGCACAGAAACTGCTTGCCATGTTGAATTTGCCTTGCTCAATGTAATTCATGTGCTTTAAGTGGGATACTACCAAATATATCTAACATCTAGGGCTATGTCCAGTGTTCCTTGCTGTATTGGGTTCATACATGCATGGTTAATGCTTTGACAATATCCAACACATCCTTGGGAAACAAGGGGGAGATAGATCCAGGCCCCTCATTCTCCCCTCCACACCTCCAAGAAATCATTTATAGGTGCTTTCATACTCAATATTATGGGGGGAGGCGGAACATGTGGCCCTTTGGGTCTCTATTTGGCCCCCAGGAGTCTTCCCAGGCCACTTGGACTGTGATATTACCTCTTGCTTGTCTGAAGGAGGATGGGGAGTTGTGTGGCATGCCTGTGTAGCATCACAGAATTGTAGAGTTGGAAGGGATCCCGAGAGCCATCTAGTTCAACCCCCTGCAATGCAGGAATCTCGACTAGATCATCCATGACAGATGGTCATCCACCCTCTGCTTAAAAACCTCCAAGGAAGGAGAGTCCACAACTTCCTGAGGGAGACCGTTCCACTGTCAGTTCTTACTGTCAGAAAGGTTTTCTTGATGTTTCGTTGGAGTCCCCTTTCTTGGAACTTGAAACCAGAGCAGGAGAAAACAAGCTTGCTCCATCCTTCATGTGGCAGTCCTTGAGATATTGAAAGATGGCTATTATACAAACCTCTGACTTTTGCATGGCTACAGTCTTCTGTAGAAAAGTAAGAGTCGCATCCATTGCTCCGCCCACTTTTACAGAATGGCCTCCAGAAGCAGCCCTCAGGCTGAAAAAGGGTTCCCTATTCTTGCCACAGAACCTCTGTTTAATAGTTGTGCATTAAATTCACTGTACTGCATGGCAACACTGTAGAAACCATGACAGATATCCAGATGTGGTTGAGAAGGGTTCATCAATATGAGCTAGACTGAGCTAAATAGCACAAGGGACTTGGCTCACACAGTCCCAAATGGGAATCCCATGAAGGCACACTGTTTCCCCACCTCATATGGTATGGGGTGAAACGTGCATTTGTCTTCAGTGGTGCTTAATTCCTGTGATTCTTCCACTCCTTTTTTTAAAGACAGAAGGATAAAACATCTGATACAAATTCAAGAACTGATATAACCGAATCAAGTGTCTAGTAGGGATGTTTGTGTTTTAGCTTGTTTGTGTTTCTGGTTCTCATCATGCTGGCTCTGTTCATGCCAATACTTAGCCCATGTTTGCAGTATAGGTTCAGCCCCGTGAACTCAGCTCTGCTGTTGAGTTGAAAATGTTGAGTTCAGGCTCTCTAAAAGGTGACTGATGTTGACTCCCATGCAAATAGTTTGCCCCCGGGACACACAAGTAAGCCACAGAAAAGAACGGAATGTGTTTTAACTTTATATATTGGATATTCTATAATATGTCCCCATCACAAAATAAATAGTCTTGCTTTGCCATTCCTCCCAGCCTTGATGTTATGCATTATTGTTTACATTTCCCCCTCCAGTTCCTTTTGCCTCAACCAGCCACCTCACCATTAGATCCTTAAGACTTTAGATCCTTAAGACATTGAGGTTGCAACAAAAAGATTCTGGTTGGTGTGTTCCTGCTGGGACATATCTCCTGTCTCAACCCTCACTCCCACCTTTAAACATGTCTCTTCAATGGCAAGAAATGTTTCTGTTTGTTTTCCTGGGTGAGCTGTGGAGAGGGCACCTCATTCAAGCATCTCTCATTTCAGATGGTGGGATTGATGACCACACTCTAAAAGCAAGAGGTGAAAATAAGCTATTAGCAATATTATCCTGCTCCTTCTCCCCACTGGTGGAAGTTGCAAGAAGATGTTGTGTCCAGACCCAGATGAGGGGTTCAATATCACGTCTTATAAAAGTCCACCATCACAAAAGAAACTGAACCTACAGCTCCTGCCAGGGATTAATGTTCACCCGGGATCAATTAGCATGCAATGCCCTGTTGTTCCTTATCCCCAGCCAATGAGATATGCCAAATTGTTTTCCCATCTATGGATTGGAAAGTATTCAGCTGCCATTCTGCTTCTAATGCTGGGGTGGGAGTTTTTATCACTCTAATCAGTTTATTAAACATCATTGTCCACAATCCCTCTGCTAATAATTTGCACTGCAATGCTAATATGCTGCCAAGAGTTTTTCAGACTGGCTTCTGTTCCCAGAGGGAACAAAGTAAAGAAAACGAGTCCTCTCATTCACTGCTCATCCCAGCAGGAAATCAACATTTTGTTATCACTCAGCCACTATCTTTTGTTCAATGCTTTTTGTGGGGGGTACATTTTGCAGTCCCTGTGTGCATGCACATGTATCCATGCTTGCATAGCTACCCATCACATGTGAACTGTGTTCAGCCCAACACTTTAGTTACTTAAAATCATTTACCAGAACGAATATTTCTATATCTCCTCTAACACAGGCCATGTGTGTCACACACAGGGCCATCTTTACCTGGGGGTGCAAGGGGTGCGGGGCACCCGGGCGTCGAATTCTGGGGGATGCCAGGTGCCTGCCACTGAAACCACCTAAGCACTTAACTATCTACCTGTTATGAAATAATAAATAATTTTGTTCAAGCTAGAAAAAACAAAATTCATATATACCTAGGTATTACTGAAATGTATACCTACTGTTTCACTAAAGGACTTTCAGCTTTGTGCACTCATTTACAAAAGACACTCCATGTCTGCGGAGGCACTTGTCATTCACAACGGCGGTGCTTGTCATTCTCAACGGTGCCGTGCATGTGAAATTAACTCTTACAAAATATTATGTTATGTATTGTATTGAGCTGCTATGTGGCAGCGGGGTCAGCGGCACCTTTGACATGACTGATGTTTGTCCTAAGTAGGTTCCTAAACAATACTTATAAGCTTAAGTGTGGTGGTGTTGTATATTTAAGTATAAGTGCATTGTAAATAAATGAGCAAATAAAAAAGTTTGTTTTTTCCTCCCTTCTTTTGTAAACAAGAGAGAAGGCGTAAGCGTGGTGTCTGACATAAGCATAATAAAAGTTAGTTTGGGGGCTAAGCTAAATTTGGGGGTGCTGGGCGGATCTTTGCACCCCAGCGGCGCATATGCTAAAGACGGCCCTGGTCACACATATTTCATTTTTCCATGTAGTGCTTTCAATTGAGCTCTGTCTCAGTGGTTCTCATCCACATTAGTGGGTGGTGCTTAATGAGAGGCATTTGCACTGTGTGTTGTTGTCCTCCTGTCCCTGCTAGTATTTGCCCCCACCTTCCTGAACTCCAGAAGCCTGAGGTCATTTGTGGACTTGTGCACTAGCACAAAACAAAGAGGTGAGCATTGTGCCTGGTTCTACCAGCATCTCACTGCCTCACCAACAGAAGCAGGGGGCATGGTGATAAATAGTACCCAGCAAAGCATCACCACACGTGTTTTAAAAAACCACCCACCCACACAAGGTGCTTCAGTATTTTCACAGTTGGGTATTATGCAATTTTATGTTGGATTTCCC